GCGTGCTTGAGATGAAATCCAGCTTGTGTGATGTTGCCTGCGCTGGATTACCCTAATTCTTTCAAGCCCTATGATGTAAGCTTTGCACCCAACCTGGAGCCCGAAATGGCATTTCTGATTTTTAAATTCTACTGTGAAGCACGGCACAACATTGAAAAAGCTCCGGAACGACACCTGGACAATAAAACCGTCCACCTTTAAACGGAAACTGGGTCTGAGGATTGACTTCTCGAGGCTTTGAGCTCCAAAAACATGGTTTAGGATTAAAGGTTTAGGGTTTATGGTTGAGGGCTTGGGGGGGAATCTTGAAACGATGGGCAGCGTCTTTGACCACCCATCTTGTTAGATCCTCAGATGTCCTAACCTCAAAATGGGGGGAAGGGGTTCTTAGATTTCGGGATCCGTGGTTTCGATATATATATATATATATGATAAGTATATGTATATATATGATAAATAAATAACTAAATAAATACAAAAATAAAAATATATATACATAAAAACGTACCCCCCCCCAAGACCTACCTCGAATCCTGCGTGTATACAGATATGCGACCACACGTCTGTACATATGCGCGCACACGCACACATGTATTTGTGTATACGAACATTACTACATAATCGAAAGGGACCGTGTATGCCGGATCGTGCTCAGCAAAATTCAGCATTGAAACCGGCGTTGAAAAATCGAACTTCATGCAGCCAGGCCCGTGGAACCAAGAACCTTGGACCAAGATGCCCAGAACTCTTGAATCTTACTTCGTATCATTACCTTAGTTTGAACGGTTTAGTGTGTTTGTAGACAGGGAATACTACAGCAATACTTAGTACCATTATTTTCGTCTGAACGGTTTCAGGTGCTTTTAGACAGGGAATAATCAACAATATTTCGTATCATTATCTTGGTTTGAAAGGTTGCGGGGTATAAGACTAGTAGAGTCGTAACGTAGTCTAGAAAGCACGACAGGAGGCTTCGAGGTAGGTTCTAGGGGGGGAGCATATATATGTATATATGTATATATTTTGCCCATATTTTTTCACATGTATATATATATATATATATATGTGGCCGAGACCTTTAGGGTCTATTTGGCCATTTCCTTTATACCTAAGTACACAATCGTCTTTTGAGGTCCGGGAGTTAATTTTGAGCTCTGGGAGCTAATTTTGAGCTCTGGGAGCTAATTTTGAGCTCTGGGGCTTTGGGAGCTAATTTTGAGCTCGGGACTCGGGGGGAGTTACTTTTGAGCTCCGGGAGCTAATTTTGAGCTCCGCGAGCTAGTTTTGAATTTCGGGAGCTAATTTTGAAATTGGGAGCTAATTTTGAGCTCCAGGAGCTAATTTTGAGCTTTGGGAGCTAATTTTAAGCCCCGGGAGCGTTAAGAGCTAATTTTGAGCTCCGGGAGCTTTTTGTGAGCTTGGGGAGCTAATTTTGAGCTCCGGAAGCTAATTTTGAGCTTTGGGAGCTAATTTTGAGCTTTGCGAGCTAATTTTCAGCTCTGGGAGCTAATTTTGAGCTCCGGGAGGTCATTTTGAGCTCCGGAGCTAGTTTTGAGCATTGGAGCTAATTTTGCGCTTTGGGAGCTAATTTTGAGCTCCGAGGAGTTGATTTTGAGCTCCGGGGAGCTAATTTTGCGCTCTTCTGCAAGACAATGTTGAACTCCGGGAGCTTATTTTGAGCTTCGGGAGTCCGGGAGCTAATTTTGAGCTCCGGGAGCTAATTTTAAGCTCCGGGACCTGATTTTGAGTTCTGGGAGCTAATTTTGAGCTCCGGGAGCTATTTGAGCTCTGGGAGCTAGTTTTTTGCTTCTGGGAATTAATTTTGAATTCTGGGGGCTCTGGGAGCTAATTTTGAGCTCCGGTCCTCTGTCTCTTGCTCAGCAGGAAGAAAGCTTTTATTTCTGAGTAGGGCATGAGAAACCATGCTGTATTTCCGATAGCAAATGAAAGGTGGCCCTTAAAATTTAATGGGCATGACAGAGCTGCATAATCTTTTAGTAAGACATGCACACGTCTCTTTTTTCACTTCTTCATGAGACATGAGACAGGTCCTCTAGGTCTTCAGCAGAAGCGAGATAGTTTCTGTATCTCTGCCTTTTGTACAATGGGACATGAACAATCTCGTTTATCTTCTAGGAAACGGCTATCTCTTAATAAAAATGATGACAGATAGAGCTCTTTGTTTGTTGCAAAAGAGCTCCTCTGCCCTTAGTAAATTCAAAAAGCTCTTGTACCTCTTGAAAGCAAATAGGGAGCTACTATGATTCGCAGGCTCCTCTATCTCTTTGCAAGAAATGAGATCGTTCTCTACCTACCGCTTGCGAAAGAGCTCCTCTACCTCGCAATCAAAACTACGGAAACTCCTCTGGCTCTTAATGGGGCATGAGCAAGCTCCTCTACGGCTATCTTTTTTCGGAAAAGAGGGTCTCTACCAAATAGAAGGTCGCGAGAGACATCCTTTATCGCTTAATAGGAATGACAGAGGTCCTCTATGAGCGGAAACGAGAAAGCGCCCTTGCCTCTTATGAAAGGGCCCCGCCACCTCCTAATGCACATTGAGCAAGCTCTTCTATCCTTTTCGTCAACAAGTCATGAGAGGGCTTCCGTCCTTAACTCTTTTTTAGGAAATGACAGAGCTACGAAAGAGCCTTTCTTCTACTTGAAAAAGTGAGGACAGGTTCTCTAGCGATTAATAGGCAATCAGAGAACTTCCTTATGTGTCTTCAATGAGAGAGCTCCTTTATGTATCTTTAACTCTTGCATGAGAGAGCTCTTCTATGTCTTTCTCGGAGTGACAGAGCCCCTCTCTCTCTTTCTATGAACGGGAAATGAAAGATGCTCCTGGACGTGACAGAGCTGCTCTATTTTGTAGCGGTGTCTAATATTTCGCCCTGTCACATGAGGCAGCTTCTCAGCTTCTTCTCTAGGCCTTAATTGGAAACTACTGTGCCTTCTTAAGTGGATATTAGAAAGCACATCTATCTTCTAGGAAATGACAGCGCTCCTAAGAAATAGTGACGCCCCAGTACCTTGAACGGAACGAGAAAGCTACTGAGGGGTGGGGCGGGGGGGTGGGAGGAGCGCTTTCATTTCCCATAAAAGATGGAGGGGCTTTTTCATCAGAGAAAGAGGGGGTCCTTCATGTTCCGCTCGAAGATAGACGAACTCCCTCATAAGAGAATGAGCTTCCTATCAACCAAAAGATAGAGGAGCTGTCTCACAAAAGATACAGGAGCTCTACGACCACTCCTCTACTGCTTGAGCTTCAGCACCTCTTCAGGGAAAGAAAAGAGCTGCTGCATGTTGTAGAGGTAGCTCTGCTATCATTTGCTAAGAAATGAAGAGCCCCCTCTATCTCCCAACATAACATGAGAGAGCTCCTATAAATTCTCAAGACATGACAGGCAGGGCCCCCCTGCCTGAGACGAAAGAGCTCCTCATCACTCAATAGGCAATCACTGAGCTCAAGTGCATAAGAAAGCTTCTTGATCTCTGGAAAGGCTTCTGCAAGAGCTCCTCTATTCCTTTCTAGGAGAAGCAGGAATGAGAAAGCTCCTCGGGGCGCGTTTTCCTTTCCTAAAACAAGACGAGGCTCTTTCAGTTCCTACGCCGAAAAGCAGAGATATAGGAGCTATCTCACAAGAGATTCAGAGAGAAAAGCTCTTGTATCTCTTGTGAGAAAGCTCGGCTATCTTTTAAAACATGAACTGGCCCCGGAAGCCCCTGTGTCTCTTCATACACCCTTCAAAAAAAGTGAACGACAGAGCTCCTCTGCCTCTTGCGAAGGAGCTCTTCTGCCTTTTGAAAACTCACAAAGCTCCTTTACCTCTAGCAAAGAAATGGTAGAGCTCCTCGATCTCTGTCTTTTACATGGTATAGAGCTTGGCTCCAGAAAACGCTATATCTCTCCGCAGGAAATGAGAACGTTCTCTACCTACCTCTTGTGAAAGAGCTCCTCTCCTCGTAATCAAAACTTGGAAAACTCGTTTCGCTCTTCCTAGGGAGCGAGCAAGCTCGTGTTTCATCTTTTTCAGAAAGAGCGCCCGTATCATGGTCACGAGAGACCTCCTCTGCCTTTTACGAAAGAGCTTTCTTCTGCTTGAAGAAGTGAGCCCCTTTCTCTTCCTATGAATAGAAAATGAAAGTCGGACATGACTCAGCTGCTCTATTTTGTACGAGACCGTGAACGGCTTCCTGTTTCTAAGTTTCGCTATGAGACATGAGAGAACTCTAGGCCTTCATAGGAAACGGGAGATCATCTCTATCTGTGCCTTGAAAAAGTGGACATCAGAAGATACATTTCACCACGCGAAGCGGTGATAGTTTCTTATTGTTGTGGCTGCGCGTGTGCTTGTGTAAAAGCTGCTTTAGGCAGGCCTTTTTCACACGCGTCACCCCACCCCCAATCTCCTTCTTGCTTTGCGCGGGTGCAGATGTTTAGGCCAAAGTTATTTTGTTTTGAAAAGCTCAAATACATGTTGCACAAGTCGCGTGGTGAATTGTCATGCAATACATGTTGGATGAATCACATTTGTTTCTCCGGCAGTCGGTGCTCAAGCAGGCACCGGACGATTGGCTGTGGACCAATTCTTGAAATTGGTCACGAGCCAAATTTTTGTAAGGAGCGATGCGCCATTCAATCCGTCTGGAGAAGCACCTGCGCTCCATCTGCAGACCCCATCGGTCACGAGGCGAACTACTTGCAGAAGCTGCAGAACTGGCTGCTCATGCGGTGGTGGAAGATGGACCAGATCAATGGGACCTCGCTCGGGACCCTTCTCCGATCAATGAGCTGGCGTGGACTCCATGCAGAGTTTCCTGTACCCCGACGCCCAAAGGGCCTTCGCACGCCCAAATGGGCGGAGCATAATTCGGAGCCCTGATAGCATTCCAGGGATTTCGCCTTTGTTTTGGTGCTCTAGGAGCTTGGCATGCCCCAAGCTCGACCTCTGTGGAGCGGGTATGCTCGAGAAGAAAACACAAGAGCCAGCGTTGCACGC